AGAGAAAGATATCCAGTAATCAATTCCTGTCCCAGCGTGGCATAGAAGGGGAGGAGAAATTATCTGGGATTTAAAGATAGTTTAGATGATTGGTGCAGTGATTTGCCAACAACTGTTTGAATATGTAGCAGAATCTCTTTTGATTTGTTTTATGATCAACGAGACTGCTCTTGGAAGCAGTGATATTAAAATGTAGAATGAGTTGGGTGTGGTGGCTCACACCTGTAATCCCAGCACTTTGGGAGGCCAAGGCAGGGGGATCACTTGAGCTCAGGAGTTCAAGACCAGCCTGGCCAAAATGGTGAAACTCTGTCTCTACTAAAAATACAAAATTAGCCAGGCATCATGGCACACACCTGTAATCCCAGCTACTCTGGAGGCTGAGGCAGGAGAATAGCTTGAACCTGGGAGGTGGAGGTTGTACTGAGCCGAGATTGTACCACTGCACTCCAGCCTGGGTGACCAAGTGAGACTCTGTCTCAACAAAATAAAATAAAATAATAAAACCCAGTGTAGAACGGCCAGTGAGGCTTAGAGCAAATGTCGACAACGCCAGGAGAGGTCCTGGAGGCTCCTGGGTAGCCTAGTATTACCGGTTTGGTTGCTGGACTTGGGGATAGAGGGGAAGAATCTCAGGAGAGACGCTGGCACAGCTGGGAGGGAGCGGCAGCACTTCCGGGGCTGAGGAGCTCAGGACGAGGGCTGCTTACCACCCACGAGAGCCTTTCAGTGTGTGGGCAGCAGATGTGGCAGCCATGCTCCCAGGCTCAGTGCCAGCTCTGGGGAAAGCCAACTTCAGCTGAGGACACTTCACAACACTGCCCCACAGCTCCTGTGACCCTCTTCCCTTTTGCTTTTCTGCACCCATTTTTCATCCTTCCCTTGTTCCCAAAGGCTGCTTTATTTCTTCTCTGGATAAAGAAGAAATGTCTTCACTAAGACATGAGGATCCAGTGCTGTCATTCCAGACATATTTGCATCTTTTTTTTTTTTTTTGAGACGGAGTTTCGCTCTCGTTACCCAGGCTGGAGTGCAATGGCGTAATCTCGGCTCGCTGCAACCTCCGCCTCCTGGGTTCAGGCAATTCTCCTGCCTCGGCCTCCTGAGTAGCTGGGATTACAGGCACGTGCCACCATGCCCAGCTAATTTTTTGTATTTTTCGTAGAGACGGGGTTTCACCATGTTGACCAGGATGGTCTCGATCTCTTGACCTCGTGATCCACCCGCCTCAGCCTCCCAAAGTGCTGGGATTACAGGCTTGAGCCACCGCGCCCAGCATATTTGCATCTTAAAAGAGGATGTCTCCTGCTAAGGCAGGAAAATTGCTTGAACCTGGCAGGTCGCAGTGAGCTGAGACTGCGCCACTGCACTCCTCCAGCCTGGGCGACAGAGTGAGACTCCATCTCAAAAAAAAAAAGAGAGAATGTCTAGAAGCAGGCTTGGTCCTCAAACTCATGGTGAGTGGTGGAATTTCAGACAGGGGTGGGAGCCTTCTCAATTCTCTTCCAAACATGCTGAGCAAGGGCCCTGTGAGACCTGCCTTGCTCAGGACAATGCTGTTACCAAATAAAATGCCACATTTCTGCACTTGTGGTATCTGACTGATGGGGCCTCTGTTACATATCTCAAATATCATCAGGTACAAACCCTTGTCTGTTTCTCCTCCTCCCTTCCAGGACACCTAATATTGGCCTTTAGTGGGCTTCAAACTTGACATTAGATGGCTTCAGGCTTGAAATGAATGAGATGGAAAAAAAAAAAAAATAGCGAAGTATCTCCAGACATTCCAGCCACATATGGCTAGTTGAAATCTGTTCTTGTGTATTTCCACCATAAGGTATCTTCTTGGGTCTAAGAGACCAGCCTTCAGCAAGTCAACCACAGAATGCCCATAGTGATATGAAAAATCCTCCATCTCGGCCGGGAGCAGTGGCTCAAGCCTGTAATCCCAGCACTGTGGGAAGCCGAGGCGGGTAGATCACGAGGTCAAGAGATCGAGACCATCCTGGTCAACATGGTGAAACCCCGTCTCTACGAAAAATACAAAAAATTAGCTGGGCATGGTGGTGCATGCCTGTAATCCCAGCTACTCAGGAGGCCGAGGCAGGAGAAGTGCCTGAACCCAGGAGGCAGAGGTTGCGGTGAGCCGAGATCGCACCATTGCACTCCAGCCTGGGTAACAAGAGTGAAACTCCGTCTCAAAAGAAAAAAAAAAAAAAAAAGAAAAGAAAAATCCTCCATCTCATTGTGATCAAATAAATGCAAATTCCAATAATCACACATATCACTTTTCTATTAGACAGTAAAAAATAAGGCCAGGCAAAGTGGCTCGCAGCTGTAATCTCAGCACTTTGAGAGGCCAAGGTGGGAGGATTGCTGGAGGTCAAAAGTTTGAGACCAGCCTACACAAAAAAGTAAGACTGCATCTCTAAAAAAAACAAAAAAATTTAGGCTGGGCTCAGTGGCTCATAAGGCCAGGAGTTTGAGACTGGCCTGGTTAACATGGTGAAACCCCATCTCTACTAAAAATACAAAAATTAGCTGGGTGTGGTGGCACATGCCTGTAGTCCCAGCTACTGGAGAGGCTGAGGCAGGAGAATCGCTTGAACCCAGGAGGTGAAGGTTACAGTGAGCCGAGATCATGCCATTGCACTCCAGCCTGGGCAACAGAGCAAGACCGTGTCTCAAAAAAAAATTTTTTTTTTTTTTTTTGAGACGGAGTTTCGCTCTTGTTACCCAGGCTGGAGTGCAATGGCGCGATCTCGGCTCACCGCAACCTCCGCCTCCTGGGCTCAGGCAATTCTCCTGCCTCAGCCTCCTGAGTAGCTGGGATTACAGGCACACGCCACCATGCCCAGCTAATTTTTTGTATTTTTAGTAGAGACGGGGTTTCACCATGTTGACCAGGATGGTCTCGATCTCTTGACCTCGTGATCCGCTCGCCTCGGCCTCCCAAAGTGCTGGGATTACAGGCTTGAGCCACCGCGCCCGGCCCAAAAAAATTTTTTAAAGGAAAGAGTGGGTGCTTGGATATTTCTTACATGCACTAGCAGACAAAAGGGACCTGGATCAGATGGGAAATAAATGTTTCCTGATGGTGACCAGCTGGTTTTCACTCACAAATACACAAGGGAATAACAAATTGCTTTTCAATATTCCTATTGAAGTTCAGTTTTTCATATTTACTCTAAATTTGAATCATGGAAAGAATTTATTCCGTAACAAAGCAGGGATCTCCATATGCTGTTTACACAGACATTCCTTAATCATATTTTATTTCTAATCATCTCGCAATCTAATTTCCTTACAGCCTGTCAGTGATTTGCCTTCTCCAGTTCCCATTGGGAGCTAAGCTTAAATTCGGTGTCCTCACAAAGAAAACAGCACACACGGTAACACTAGATTTAGGAAAATGTGTGTTTACCAGAATGACAAGAAAGGGACTCTGTTATTTCTTGCTTACTAAAGCCCTAACCAGAATTTGTAAAAATAAGGACTATGTCTCCTGCTGCCCTCAGCTGGTACTGAAAGATGGTGCTGTCTTGAAATAAGTCTTCCTAGTTGACGCTCACTCCAAATGAGGCAAAATTATCTAAAAATGTCCCTATAGCTTGAAGGAGGTTAGGCTTCATTCATAAATGTGAAAGGTTTCCAGCAGCCCTACCCAATAAGAAACATCAAATGGGCCAGGCATGGTGGCTCATGCCTGTAATCCCAGCACTTTGGGAGGCCGAGGTGGGTAGATCACTAAGTCAAGAGATTGAGACCATCCTGCCCAACATGGTGAAACCCCATCTCTACTAAAAATACAAAAATTAGCTGGACATGGTGGCACACGCCTGTAGTCCTAGCTACTTGGGAGGCTGAGACAGAAGAATCACTTGAACCTGGGAGGTGGAGGTTACAGTGAGCCAAGATGGGGCCACTGCACTCCAGCCTGGTGACAGAGTCAGACTCCATCTCAAAAAACAAAAACAAAAACAAAACAAAAAAAACATCAAATGAAGTCACCTTCATCTCCATTAAAAAACTTTTTTTTAAAATTGTATTTTTGATACAGTGTCTCACCGTCATCTGGGCTAGAGTGCAGTGGCGTGATCTCAGCTCACTGCAACCTCCACCTCCCAGGTTCAAGTGATTCTTCTGCCTCAGCCTCCTGAGTAGCTGGGATAACAGGCGCAGTACCACGATGCTTGACTATTTTTTTTTTTTTTTGTATTTTTGGTAGAGATGGGGTTTCACCATGTTGGCCAGGCTGGTCTCGAATTCCTGATCTCAAGTGATCCAATGGCCTCAGCCTCCCAAAGTTCTACAATCACAGGCATGAGTCACCACGTCCGGCCCTTGTGTTCATTCTTCAGGAACAGAGTAAAGGACTAGAAAGACCAAGTCTCCCCACTTGTTAAGGGGATGGTTGGGTTGAAGAAATCATAGAAGAAAGTCCTTGTCCGAGCAGGAATATTCACACTTATTTGGATTCCATGACGCCCTTGGTATGTCCTTCACTAAACGTTTATGTATTATACATTGTAATAGATTTTGGGGGGAAAAAATTTCTTTTTTTTTTTTTTTTTTGAGACGGAGTTTCGCTCTTGTTACCCAGGCTGGCGTGCAATGGCGCGATCTCGGCTCACCGCAACCTCCGCCTCCCGGGCTCAGGCAATTCTCCTGCCTCAGCCTCCTGAGTAGCTGGGATTACAGGCACGTGCCACCATGCCCAGCTAATTTTTTGCACTTTTAGTAGAGACGGGGTTTCACCATGTTGACCAGGATGGTCTCGATCTCTCGACCTCGTGATCCACCCGCCTCGGCCTCCCAAAGTGCTGGGATTACAGGCTTGAGCCACCACGCCCGGCGCGAAAAAAATTTCTTATGACATAAAATTGGTAGGGAGTGGGTTTACCAGAAAGGGGATACAAAACACACCCTGAGTTCCAAATCATTCACTTCTGCTTGGGTAAAGAGCTAATGGAAAGAAAGATACTGATTTAACACTTAAATTATACACCAATCACCTTTAATGGATGCAACCCTAAATTAATTTTCCCTAAAACAGAGGTATTTCACTTTTACTGTGCTTTGTGTGTGTGTGTGTGTTTTCACTTTTGCTGTTTTTATTTCCATTAAAGCAACACCATTGTAGAGCAAAACTAACTCTATGCACTTAGTACCTGACACATGTTTTCTGATTTTAACAAGTGATTGAAAAGGTTACATTAACTCATTAAGAAAACATTTTCCTTAGACACTTTGCTTGGTTTTGGTTTTCCATTAAAAGAATTATAGCAGAGGGCTATTTCAAAGATTGGTTCTTTCTCCTTTCACGAGTCGGGCTCGAAACATCCAAATATCCTGGAAATAATACCAAACAGTGAGTCTATGGAACACTTCAGTCTGCCTTCAATTTACCTTCAATTTCACCATAAGACAAAGTCAATTTCTAGCCTCTATGAAAGGTTAAATAGGGAAAATAATCCCTGCAAATGATTAGGGAACAAAATAACTCAAATTAATCTACTTAATCAACTATTAAAAAAATTTTTTTTGAGACACAGTCTCACTCCATTGCCCAGGCTGGAGGGCTGTGGCACAATCTTGGCTCATTGTAACATCCAACTCCCAGGTTCAAGCAATTCTGGTGCCTCAGCCTCCTCAGTAGCTGGAATTACAGGTGTGTGCCACCATGCCCGGCTAATTTTTGTATTTTTAGGAGAGACAGGGTTTCACTATGTTGGCCAGGCTGGTCTTGAACTCCTGACCTCAGGTGATCCACCCCGCTAAGCCTCCCAAAGTGTTGGGATTATAGGTAGGAGCCACTGCGCCCGGTGTATTTTTATTTCTTTTTTTAGTAGAGGTGGAGTCTCACTACGTTTCTCAGGCTGGTCTCTAATTCCTGGGCTCAAGCGATTCTCCTGCACTGACTTCCCAAAGTTTTGGGATTACAGGCGTGAGCCACCATGCCCAGCCAGAAGGCAGTATTTTTTTCTTTCATTTTCTCTCATCTAAATCTGTATTTTTTTTTCCCTTCACTGTCCTATGTGAAACAGGATGGCCTGCACACCTTTGCCTGCATACCTTTAAACAGCCCAAAGACATAAAAAAGCAGCTGGAAGTTCTCAAGTCTCCAGCACAGAAGCACGAGTGTAAATGGAAATTCCATCATCATTTTTGGTGGGGGCTCAGCAACGTCCCTAAAATAAACTCTAAACCCAAGTACTCTATACTTTCAAGTAAATTAGGTATGAGAATTATAAAGCATCTGAAGAAAAGAAGAACCTGAGAGTTTTACCTTGCTATTATAGACAAACATACCTTCAAGTCCACGGTATTATCAAGTCCATAGAGTTTATTTGCTAATCCTGCAATTTCCTTCTCAATGTTTTCTTGACTGGTGCCCTTCACATTGATGTAATGGCAATCAGCACTGGCGAAATGGCAGGAAATTGCCTGTGCAAAGCGAACAAATGGATGTTGGAGAAAAACATCCCATGAATACGAACAACCAAGCAGAGAGTCTTTCTTTTAGAAAGTCAGTTAGTTCATGGCCGGGCGCGGTGGCTCAAGCCTGTAATCCCAGCACTTTGGGAGGCAGAGGCGGGTGGATCACGAGGTCAAGAGATCGAGACCATCCTGGTCAACATGGTGAAACCCTGTCTCTACTAAAAATACAAAAACATTAGCTGGGCGTGGTGGCGCGTGCCTGTAATCCCAGCTACTCAGGAGGCTGAGGCAGGAGAATTGCCTGAACCCAGGAGGCGGAGGTTGCGGTGAGCCGAGATCGCGCCATTGCACTCTAGCCTGGGTAATGAGTGAAATTCGGTCTCAAAAAAAAAAAAAAAAAGAAAAAAAAAAACAAACGAAAGTCAATTAGTTCACGCTGTATCTGATTTCTAAATGGAAAGTCAGGTCCACTGTGTCCTGCGTCACTCTCTTTGCAGCGAAGCCTCTTTTTGTTTCCAGCTAAAAGTTAATTGAGAAATTTCAAAAGATTGTTAAGCAGACATGACGTTTATTGTCGAAAGGGATCTATGGGAGAGGGAGTGGAATTATGTCAGCAAGAGGTCTTTAGTTTTTTTTTTAGCCTTTGATTTTCCTAATGAATGGATATCCCAAAGTCTTTAAAAGGACCGTATTCAATGGCAGTTCATCTCAAAAGTTAGTTACTGGTCCAATTTGGGATGGACTGTTATTTCAGTAGCAATAGATTATGAAAAGAACCAAAAATACCTTCAGAAAGAAAATAATGCAGACCACCTTCTCTCAAATCCAAAGGACATTTAAAGGCCAATACCACTGACATATATTATCCCTCTTGTTTCCTTCTGAGGGTAAGGATGAAATTACTTGGTTCTTCCCATTTTAGAAAAAGTTAGAAACAGAGCTAAGCTTCGAAGCAATCATTAAAACTTACCTTTTTTTGTCACAAGTTAATGATCTTTTTTTTTTTTTTTTTGAGGCGGAGTTTTGCTCTTGTTACCCAGGCTGGAGTGCAATGGCGCGATCTCGGCTCACCGCAACCTCCGCCTCCTGGGCTCAGGCAATTCTCCTGCCTCAGCCTCCTGAGTAGCTGGGATTACAGGCACGCGCCACCACGCCCAGCTAATTTTTTTTATTTTTAGTAGAGACGGGGTTTCACCTTGTTGACCAGGATGGTCTCGATCTCCTGACCTCGTGATCCACCCGCCTTGGCCTCCCAAAGTGCTGGGATTACAGGCTTGAGCCACTGCACCCGGCCAAGTTAATGATCTTAAGGTGATCACACTTGTCAGAAGGACTTTCTATTTTGCCCCAAACAACAACTTTCTAGGGAGTGGAGTCACAGACTCCATTGCCTCTGTAAGCCCTGGTGCCCTACAGTATTGTAACAGAGTCCAAAGCGAAGGGGAACATGTGCACCCCTGTATCTTTATCTTTATGTAGTTACAGCAATATTTTTCCAGAACATTAAAGTCATTAAGCCCAGGCATGGTGGCTCATGCCTATAATTCCAGTACTCTGGGAGTCCAAGGCAGGAGGATCACTTGAGGCCAAGAGTTCAAGACCAGCCTGGACAACATAGCATGACCATATCTGTACAAAAAATAAAAAAATAAAATTAGCCAGGTGTGGTGGTGCATGCCTGTAGCTCCAGCTACTCAAGAGGCCGAGGCAGGAGGATGGTTTGAGCCTAGGAGTTCCAAGCTGCAGTGAGCTACGATTGCACCACTGCACTCCAGCCTGGGCAAAAGAGCAAGACGCTTTCTCAAATAAATACATAAATAAATCGTAAACATTTAAAAATAAAGGCATTAAAAAACATTGGGCCAGGTGAGGTGGCTCAAATATATCATCTTAGCACTTTGGGAGGCTGAGGCGAGAGGGTCACTTGAGGCCAGAAGTTTGAGACCAGACTGGCCAAGATGGGGAAACCCTGTCTCTACCAAAAAATTAAAAAATCAGCCGGGTGTGGTGGCATGCGCCTATAGTCTCAGCTACTTAGGCTGAGGCAGAAGAATTGCTTAAACCCTAGAGGCTGAGGTTGCAGTGAGCTGAGATTGCACCACTGCACTCTAGCCTGGGCGAAAGAGCAAGGTTCCATCTCAAAAACAAAAAGATTGCCAAGTCAATATATTAAAACTCACAACACGATTTGCGTTACTGTACCTGCACCTGCCTTCTTGCACAGCTCTGAAGGTTGTGCTAGTGTGGGGTCTGATAGTGGCTTTTATTTAAACTTTTGGCATCGTACACAGCCGATACACTGGGTATTTTGCATTAATTTTCATTTTTTAAAATTTTGCATTAAAATATTAGTAAACTTGATTGCTGAGGGGTTTGTTCGTTTGTTTTTGAGACAGAGTTTCACTCTTGTTTTTGAGACAGAGTTTCACTCTTGTACAATCGGGTGATCTTGGCTCATTGCAACCTCTGCCTCCCAGGTTCAAGCAAGTCTCCTGCCTCAGTCTCCCGAATAGCTGGGAATACAGGCATGTGCCACCACCCCCACGGACCAATTTTGTCTTTTTAGTAAAGGCGGGGTTTCTCCATGCTGGTCAGGCTGGTCTTGAACTCCTGACCTCAGGTGATCCACCCACCTCGGCATCCCAAAGTGCTGGGATTAGAGGTGTGAGCCACTGTGCCCAGCTGATTGCTGAGGTTTTTTTGGCATCCCCTTAAATTTTACCCCTGGGGAGAGTGTCCCAACTTGTCCCAACCTAATCCTGATCCTGATGAGGCTGATGGAAATATGAATGAATGGAAGATGAAACTTGGCCCCTAACCCATGGCCTGAGGAGACAACAGTGATTTTTTTTTTTTTTTTAAATAGTGGAGTTTCGTCATGTTGCCCAGGCTGGTCTAGAACTCTAGGGCCCAAGTGATCCTAGATTTTAAGATCAATATTGACGCCGGGCTCGGTGGCTCAAGCCTGTAATCCCAGCACTTTGGGAGGCTGAGGCGGGTGGATCATGAGGTCAAGAGATCGAAACCATCCTGGTCAACATGGTGAAACCCCGTCTCTACTAAAAATACAAAAAATTAGCTGGGCATGGTGGCGTGTGCCTGTAATCCCAGCTACTCAGGAGGCTGAGGCAAGAGAATTGCCTGAACCCAGGAGGCAGAGGTTGCGGTGAGCCGAGATCGCGCCATTGCACTCCAGCCTGGGTAACAAGAGCGAAACTCCGTCTCAAAAAAAAAAAAAAAAAAAAAAGATCAATATTGACAAGGTTGGGTCAATACTGATCATGATCATGAGGTCACATGGCTTCTTACTGATAACACAAAAGCCCAAGGTAAGCAAATCTATTTCCTGGTAAATAAACTGGACTAAAGTTCAGGTTGGTTAAAAGCCACAAATGGCCAGGCGCAGTGGCTCACGCCTGTAATCCCAGCACTTTGAGAGGCCGAGGCAGGTGGACCACAACGTCAGGAGATCGAGACCATCCTGGCCATGGTGAAACCTCATCACTACTAAAATACAAAAAATTAGTGGGGCATGGTAGCGCATGCCTGCAATTCCACCCAGGAGGTGGAGGTTGCAGTGAGATGAGATCCTGCCACTGCACTCTAGCCTGGCGACAGAAGGAGACTCCGCTTTGCCTTTTTGTTTGTTTGTTTTTTGAGACAAAGTCTCAATCTGTCATCCAGGCTGGAGTGCAGTGGCACAATCTCGGCTCACGGTAACCTCCACCTCCCGGGTTCAAGCGATTCCCCTGCCTCAGCCTCCTGAGTAGCTGGGACTACAGGCATGCACCACCACATCTGGCTAATTTTTGTGTTTTTAGTAGAGACAGGGTTTCACCATGTGGTCAGGCTGGTCTCAAACTCCTCAGCTGGTGATCTGCCCACCTCAGCTTCCCAGAGTGCTGGGATTACAGGCGTGAGTGACTGCACCCGACCAAAAGCCACAAATCTTTAACATGTTAATGTAATTAAATTAATATTTTATTTAATTAATTTGAATTAAATAAATGAAATACAATTTTTGTTTCTGACCCATGCTCTGCAGCAGGTGCAGCAATGTGAATGCTTACCTTCCGGAACCCCTGCGTTTTGTTCCGACCAGATCCATGGATGAGCAAAGGATGGAAGAAAACGGTGTCTCCCTTCTCCATCACCAGGTGCACCCGGGCAGTATTTTCCTCATAGTCCTGGATCCCGTGGAACATTTTGTTAACTCCCCCCTAGAATAAGAAGCAAGCCAAGTCTATGTTTGAGGGAATTCCATAATTGAAAACAGTGTCAATTGTTCATCAGGGAAAGCAAACATCAGGGAAAGAAAGCATATCTTTCTCCCAAGAGAAAGAAATGTCTAATTTAAATGTCTAAATTAAATGCTTATTTTTTTTAGTATATAAAAGCCTCTCAGATACCTGGTTTTTAAGAGTCACATGTTGGCCAGGCATGGTGGCTCATGTCTGTAATCTCAGCACATTGGGAGGCCAAGTTGGGAGAATCGCACATGCTTAGGAATTCAATATCAGCCTGGGCAACATGGCAAAACCGCATCTCTACAAAAACTGCAAAAGTTAGCTGGGCATGGTGGTGTGAGCCTGTGGTCTCAGCTACTCAGGAGGCTGAGGTGGGAGGATCGATTGAGCCAGGAGGGGGACGTGGCAGAGATAATGCCACTGCCCTTCAGCCTGGACAACAGAGCAAAGCCCTGTCTCAAAAAATAATAGTAATAATAAACGAAGTCACATGTTGATACTAAAGTCACTGATTTTTTTGGAGCAAATGAACGATGTGGACTTTCCCCCTGCCCTTCATGACTGCATTGTACATGAAGATCTAGCTTAGCTTTGCCTTTCGTGGTCAATGCAGCTATCTTCTAGGCATTTCTATCCTGAATCTGTAAGTGTTCTCCTCCTCACCTAGACCTTTAAAAGGATCTCTCATTTCTTTTTTTTTTTTTTTTTTTTTGAGACGGAGTTTCGCTCTTGTTACCCAGGCTGGAGTGCAATGGCACGATCTCGGCTCACTGCAACCTCCGCCTCCTGGGTTCAGGCAATTCTCCTGCCTCAGCCTCCTGAGTAGCTGGGATTACAGGCACGCACCACCATGCCCAGCTAATTTTTTGTATTTTTAGTAGAGACGGGGTTTCACCATCTTGACCAGGATGGTCTCGATCTCTTGACCTCGTGATCCACCCGCCTCGGCCTCCCAAAGTGCTGGGATTACAGGCTTGAGCCACCACGCCCGGCTAGGATCTCTCATTTCTTATTCAGGAGTGTCTCTGGAAAGTTAACTATTTTCCCAAAATAGGGGGAAGAAAATGCTCAACTTTTTGGGCTCAAAAGCACTTATGTCACATCCAGAATAATGAAAGAATAGGAAATTAAAACACTGTGTGTGTTTGTAACTATTTCCCAAATTAGTTACTGCTTTAGGTAGTGGGGTTATGTCTTTATTAAAGAAATTGACATGAGAAGCACCTTGAGTCAGGGTGAGGGAAGCAGCCCATTCCTCTTCTTAGCATCCCCAGTTCCTTTTGGGAATGACTACATCCCTCTTAGACAGTGCTGAGACTCTGACCCAGAGCCCTGCTCTCCTGGCCAGGGTGAAGGCGTGGCCCACACTAAGCTAGTCACACCTCCCACTCTGCATCTGAGCAGGGTATCTGAGACTCTGCGAGCAGCGGAAGCCCTGCAAACCGTTCCTTTGACCTTCCGTCAGCCAAAGCCCACTGCAGCTGCTTGCACCAAACTTTACCTAAACCTTAGCTTCACTGATGAGTTTCACATGAAGTGGTTTTATATCATGATCCAGACACTCATATATTTTCATTTGACACTAATTGTCAGTGCCAGAAATCTGAGACATTCTTTCATTATTATTATTATTATTGAGATGGAGTCTTGCTCTGTCAGCCAGGCTGGAGTGTACCTGTGCAATCTCAGCTCACTGCAACCTTCACTTCCCAGGTTCAAGTGATTCTCCTACCTCAGCCTCCCAAGTAGCTGGGACTACAGGAGCACGCCACCATGCCTAGTTAATTTTAGTATTTTTAGCAGAAACAGAGTTTCACCATGTTGGCCAGGCTGGTCTCAAACTCTTTACCTCAAGTGATCCAGCCACCTGAGCCTTCCAAAGTGCTGGGATTATAGGCGTGAGTCACTGTGTCCAACAGAGACAAGAGTTCTTAAAACTATGGTTTTTACTTCCTACTGAATCACACCTCATTCTCCCTGCTTTAACAATGGGGGTTCATTCCATTCACAACATCATGGGATTCTAAGATGTTTTCTTTTTTCTTTCTTTTTTTTTTTTAGATGGAGTTTCACTCTTGTAGCCCAGGCTGGAGTGCAGTGGCACAATCTTGGCTCACTGTAACCTCTGGCTCCTAGGTTCAAGCGATTCTCCTGCCTCAGCCTCCCTAGTAGCTGGGATTACAGGCATGTGCCACCACATTCGGCTAATTTTTGTTTTTGTTTTTGTTTTTTTTTTTTTTTTGAGATGGAGTTTCGTTCTTGTTACCCAGGCTGGAGTGCAATGGCGCGATCTCGGCTCACCGCGACCTCCGCCTCCTGGGTTCAGGCAATTCTCCTGCCTCAGCCTCCTGAGTAGCTGGGATTACAGGCACGCGCCACTATGCCCAGCTAATTTTTTGTATTTTTAGTAGAGACGGGGTTTCACCGTGTTGACCAGGATGGTCTCGATCTCCTGACCTCGTGATCCACCCGCCTCAGCCTCCCAAAGTGCTGGGATTACAGGCTTGAGCCACCGCGCCCGGCTTAATTTTTGTATTTTTAGTAGAGACGAGGTTTATCCATGTTGGTCAGGCTGGTCTTTTTTTTTTTTTTTTTTTGAGACGGAGTTTCGCTCTTGTTACCCAGGCTGGAGTGCAAGGCACGATCTCGGCTCACCGCAACCTCCGCCTCCTGGGTTCAGGCAATTCTCCTGCCTCAGCCTCCCGAGTAGCTGGGATTACAGGCATGTGTCACCATGCCCAGTTAATTTTTTTGTATTTTTAGGAGAGACGGGGTTTCACCATGTTGACCAGGATGGTCTCGATCTCTTGACCTCGTGATCCACCCGCCTCGGCCTCCCAAAGTGCTGGGATTACAGGCTTGAGCCACCGCGCCCGGCCTCAGGCTGGTCTTGAACTCCCAACCTCAGATAATCCACCCGCCTCAGCCTCCCAAAGTGCTGGAATTACAGGAGTGAGCCACCACACCTGGCATTCTTTTTCTTTTGATACAAGAACTTGCTCTGTCATCCAGGCTGGAGTGCAATGGCACCAGCATAGCTCACTGCAGCCTCGAACTCCTGGGCTCAAGTGATCCCCCTGCCTCAGCCTCCTGAATAGCTGGGACTACACACATACACCACCACACCCAGTCAATTATTATTATTTTTAGAGATGGGACCTCACTGTGTTCCCCAGGCTGGTCTTGAACTCCTGGGCTCAAGGGATCCTCCCACCTTGGGGTCCCATCCTGGGTCCCACAGGATCTTTTTACCTTAGACCTAACATGTTACTAGTCATCTCTCTGGTTTCTTTGCTTCTAGATTCTAGATTCCTGTACCTCCAATGTGTCCTGCACCAGACCATGACATTATCATCCTTGAAGAGCTGATCTGATCCCTTCACATGAGCTGAAATGCATTGAATAGTTTCATACATCAACAGCTGAATGGATGAGCAAACCACGGTGCAGCCATGCAATGGAATTCTACTCAGCAATGCGAGGGCGAGAGCTGCATCATCCACAGCAGCATCGGTGAACCTCACAACTGCCACACGGAGTGAAAGAAGCCAGACTGCAACAAAAAAATCTATACTATGTGATTCCATGTCTGTGACACTTTAGAAAACGCAAACTAGGTGGGGCGCCGTGGCTCAAACCTGTACTGCAATCCCAGCACTTTGGGAGGCAGAGGCGGGCAGATTACGAGGCCGGGAGTTCGGGAGCAGCCTGATCAACATGGAGAAACCCCGTCTCTACTAAAAATACAAAATTAGCCGGGTGTGGTGGCACATGCCTGTAATCCCAGCTACTCTGGAGGCTGAGGCAGGAGAATCGCTTAAACCCGGGAGGCGGAGTTTGCAGTGAGCCGAGATCGCACCATTGCACTCCAGCCTGGGCAAGCGAAACTTTATCCCAAAACAAAACAAAACGAAAGAAAGAAAGAGAGAAAGAAAAGAAAAATGCAAACTAATCTGTAGTAACAGAAAGCAACTCAGTGGTTGCCTGGAGCAGGGAAGGGAAAGATGGAGTATTCTGACTGTGGTGATGATTCACAGGTGTGTGTGTGTGAAAAATGATCAAATGATACACGCAAAAACACAATTTACATGACAATTATATCTCAATAAAACCTTTTTCTTTTCTTTTTTTTTTTTTTTAACTAAAAGCTCTTTGATCTTCCTAAAGAGTTCAAACTCAAAAGTTCCTATTCTCCCCCCAGATAAACTTCAGACTTGTTAGTATAACAGCCTTTTCTAATCTGGTCCTAATGTACCCTTTTGTGCTCACCTCCTCTGCTACTCCCCAAAACATGCCCCCAGCCCCAGCCCATCTAGAATTCGAGCTCCCTGGGTCCTTCCCGTTCTTTGATCAGGTTCAGGCTTGCCCTTGACCTTGTGCCTTCCCATATAGACTCTTCCCTATGGGACATTCTACCCTGTCCTGCAAGGCTCAGGTCAAACACCAGCCTCCCCAGATCCTTTGCTGGTCTCTGCATTTACAAGGAGACAATCTCTCCTTCCTTACTCTGAGGGCCATTAGTTAGTGAGTAAGACTAACTTGGTGCCTACCACACACATCTGGGGTTGACGTGTTTATGTCTTAGCTCTGCAGCTAGCTTTTTTTTTTTTTTGACACGGAGTTTTGCTCTTGTTACCCAGGCTGCAGTGCAATGGTGCGATCTTGGCTCACCGCAACCTCCGCCTCCTGGGTTCAGGCAATTCTCCTGTCTCAGCCTCCTGAGTAGCTAGGATTATAGGCACGCGCCACCATGCCCAGCTAATTTTTTTGTATTTTTAGTAGAGACGGGGTTTCACCACGTTGACCAGGATGGTCTCGATCTCTTGACCTCGTGATCCACCTGCCTCGGCCTCGCAAAGTGCTGGGATTACAGGCGTGAGCCACCGCGCCCGGCCCAGCAGCTAGCTTTACAGTCTTCTAGACGATACAGCACCAACCCAAGCTCCCCATCTTGGCTGGCTTTCAAACACGTGTTGAGTCCCGGTACAGTGGCTCATTCCTTTACTCTCAACACTTTGGGAGGCCAAGTCAATGGATCACTTGCGGTCAAGAGTTTGAGACCAGCCTGGCCAACATAGAGAAACCCCATCTCCACTAAAAATACAAAAATTAGTCGGGCGTGGTGGTGCACACCTATAGTCCCAGCTACTAGGGAGACTGAGGCGGGAGGATTGCTTGAACCCAGGAGGTGGAGGTTGCAGTAAGTTGAGCAAGACCCTGTCTCAAAAAAAAAAAAAAAAAGTGTTCAAAAAAATAGTTGTAATGAATGTCTTCTCTGGCATCCTTGAACTTTCTCTGATCTTCACTGCAAATCTTTTTTTTTTTTTTTTTTTGAGACAGAGTGTTGCTCTTGTTACCCAGGCTGGAGTGCAATGGTGCGATCTCGGCTTACCGCAACCTCCGCCTCCTGGGTTCAAGCAATTCTCCTGCCTCAGCCTCCTGAGTAGCTGGGATTACAGGCACGCGCCACTTAGTGCAATGTTTTGTTCAGAAACGAAATGCTGGCGGAGCGCGGTGGTTCACGCCTGTAATCCCAGCACTTTGGGAGGCCGAGGCGGGTGGATCACGAGGTCAAGAGATCGAGACCATCCTGGTCAATATGGTGAAACCCCGTCTCTACTAAAAATACAAAAAATTAGCTGGGCATGGTGGCACATGCCTGTAATCCGAGCTACTCAGGAGGCTGAGGCAGGAGAATTGCCTGAACCCAGGAGGCGGAGGTTGCAGTGAGCCGAGATCGCGCCATTGCACTCCAGCCTAGGTAACAAGAGCGAAACTCCACCTCAAAAAAAAAAAAAAAAAAAAAAAAAAGGAACGAAATGCCATCTCATTTGTAAGCCCTTTTTGGATACTGATGTGAAACAGAAGCTGCAAAGGAGACAGATCAAGACTCAGCCACAGGCAGACCTACCTCCCACTTAGGGTAATCGTGGGGCTTCAGGGAGCCCCTGTGGGTGCCTGGGAGCACAACCAGACAGCCGTTGTTCCGGTCGATGGGCTCCATCGCCGTCCAGGCGCAAACGATGAGATTGCTGGGCCTGAAGGGGAAATAGTGCAGGTCCTGGTGCAGGGGATGGCGGGACGTCTTCTTACCTGAAAGAAAACCTGCTATTAAAGGATGCTCGAGGCCAGGCGCAGTGGCTCACGCCTGTAACTGAAGTGGATGTATTGCTTGAGTCCAGGAGTTCAAGACCAGCCCAGGAAACATAGTGAGACCTCGTTTCTACAGAAAAAAACTAAAAATTAGCTGAGCACGGTGGCATGCACCTGTAGTTGCAGCTACTTGGGAGGCTGAGGTGGGAGGGGAGGATCAACTGAGCCTGGAGGTCGAGCTGCAGTGAGCTGTGATTGCACCACTGCCTTCCAGCCTGGGTAACAGAGTGAGACCCTGTCTCAAAAAAAAAAAAGAAAAGAAAAAGCCGGGTGCAGTGGTTCATGCCTTTAATCCCAGCACTTTGGGAGGCTGAGGTGGGTGGATCATCTGAGGTAAGGAGTTCAAGACCACGCTGACCAACACAATTAAATACTGTCTCTATTAAAAATACAAAAAAAAAAGACGGGCGTGGTGACTCAAGCCTGTAATCCCAGCACTTTGGGAGGCCGAGGCGGGTGGATCACGAGGTCAAGAGATCGAGACCATCCTGGTCAACATGGTGAAACCCCGTCTCTACTAAAAATACAAAACATTAGCTGGGCATGGTGGCGCGTGCCTGTAATCCCAGGTACTCAGGAGGCTGAGGCAGGAGAATTGCCTGAACCCGGGAGGCGGAGGTTGCGGTGAGCCGAGATCGCGCCATTGCACTCCAGCCTGGGTAACAAGAGCGAAACTCCGTCTCAAAAAAAAAAAAAGAAAAAAGAAAATAAATCTGAGTGTGGTGGCTAGCACTTGTAATCTCAGCTACTCAGGAGGCTGAGGCAGGAGAAGCCCTTGAACCTCGGAGGTGTAGGTTGCAGTGAGCCGAAATGGAGCCACTGCACTCCAGCCTGGGCAACAGAGCAAGACTCCATCACAAAAATAAATCAATAAAAGTTCTCTAAGAGGTCCTCACCCCCCAGAACAATAGTCATTCCGTGCCCAGTGTCCAGTCGGAGTGCCCTTGACCACATGGACATTTTCCCCTGGTTTGCTCACTGAGCCTGGCTCCTGATCAGCTGATCTCTTCAGGGAGGGAGAGACCTGGTAATGCTAAGCTGCCTTCTATCACATAAACCTCTCCCGGTGATCAGAAGGAAGAAAAGGTGGAAAGGATAGGGGAGTCTCTCATGGCTGATTTATACTGCAGGCATAGAGGAATTTCTCAGTGTAGTATGAGTGGTCTATACTAGAATCTCTGAACTTGAACTCCTGGGCTCGAATGATCCTCCCCACTAGCCTCCTGAGTAGCTGTGTCCACAGGTGCGCACCTATGCCTAGCTTGGGGAAGGTTATTGAAATACAGAAACCTGGGTTATATTTCTCAATCAGTCTCTCTGCCAATGAGGTCTTAGAATCTACATTTTAGCAAGCACAAGACATTTTAAAGACAACTATAGGGTGGGTGCGGTGACTTACACCTATAATCCCAGCACTTTGGGAGGCCAAGGTGGGTGGATCACCTGAGGTCAGGAGGATCAGCCTGGCCAACATGGCAAAACCCCATCTCTACGAAAAATACAAAAATCAGCCAGGCATGGTGGCACATGCCTGTGATCCCAGCTACTTGGAAGGCTGAGGCAGGAGAATCCTTTGAACCTGGGAGGTAGAGGTGGCAGTAAGCAGAGATCTCACCACTGTACTCCAGCCTGGACAACAGAGCAAGACTCCATGCCCCCCTATAAAAAAAAAAAAAAAAAAAAAAAAAAAAAGACAACTATAGTTTGTGACTCATAGTTACAATTTTAATTGTATTAGTAATAACAACATCCTCCTATCAGGAATGCAAGAATTCACACTATCACAGCTAAGAAGAGCTGATCAAGCTTAGCGATATCAAACGTCAGAAACCTCTGATACATGAACAGTTATGTCTGTTAAACTGCATTTTCGGGGAGCCAGTCATCTGAAAATTCAGCAACAGTTCTAGAGTTAGTGTCTGAAATCATTATCACATTTCACTGTTATAGCGTAAGTTATTTTAAGACTTACTCATCCAAAGTTTGATAGTTATACATAGGATTAGACTTCAACTATTTTATCTTATTATTTTGTTTGGTTGTATTTTATTTATTTTTTAGAGATGGGGTCTCACTCTGTCACCCAGGCTAGAGTGCATGCTATCATAGCTCACTGCAGCCTTCAACTCCCGGGCTCAAGTGATCCTCCCACCTCAGCCTCCCAAGTAGCAGGGACTACAAGTGTGCACCGCCATGCCTGGATATTTTTAAGTTTTATTTTTAGAGACAGAGTCTGACTTTGCCCAGGCCACTCTCAAACTCCTGGCCTCAGAGATCTTCCTCTCTCAGTCTCCTAAAATGCTGAAATTACAGGCATGAGTCACTGCACCCAGCCAACCATACACATTTTAATGAAACCATTATTTCCTTGCCTCCCCCTTACAATTACCAGCGTCTGGAGGTTTGTTGATCAACATCGTGTGCATGGCCATAATATTAGGTCCAGTGAAGCACTCCACATACTTCAGAATCTAAGAAAACAAAAAAACGAAAACAAACCTCCTGGGAAATCCGAAGTATTGGCAACTGGTACAAAGAACAGTAGCTATCCACACAAGAACCACGAAGGCAATAGTTTAAGAACCAAGTGGTACCGGCCGGATGCGGTGGCTCAAGCCTGTAATCCCAGCACTTTGGGAGGCCAAGGTGGGTGGATCAAGAGGTCAAGAGATCGAGACCATCCTGGTCAACATGGTGAAACCCCGTCTCTACTAAAAATACAAAAAACTAGCTGGGCATGGTGGCGCGGGCCTGTAATCCCAGCTACTCAGGAGGCTGAGGCAGGAGAATTGCCTGAACCCAGGAGGCGGAGGTTGCGGTGAGCCGAGATCGCGCCATTGCACTCCAGCCTGGGTAACAAGAGCGAAACTCCGTCTCAAAAAAAAAAAAAAAAAAAAAAAAAGAACCAAGTGAGATTTCACATCACCGCAGACAAGGCATGATGAACCCAGCCATGGGAAATCATTCTGAATCTGTAACATGGAATTAAATGGGCTTTTTCTGACCTAGATGAGAATGAAACCATTTTTTTTTTTTCTACAAGAAAGATAGGACTTTTGACAACACATCAATATAGTTTTCTTGTCAACCCAAGCTCAGTGGGAGGGCAGTTTCCTCTTTACTCGCTGGAGCCCCTGCATACAAAGAGCCATAGACAGCCCACACGATTCACAGCTGTCATGAGTAGCCTGGAAGAAAGCAGAACAGCGGTGTGCGGGACACTTGGCAATTGGGAACACGTGGCACCTGACAATTCATGACTGAGATCTGGGAACCAAGCGGTGACAGGAAATGGGGAAGCAAGAGTGAATAAGCAAAGCAGGTCCCAGGGCTTAGATGAAAGACGTTAACCCAGCAGAGTGGCCGAGGGACACCGTATGATGAAGAAAAGGCCAACACAGGAGCACGTGACATTGTGTTCCCATGCTGGCCTTTTCTTTTTTTTTTTTTTTTTTTTTTTTTGGGACGGAGTTTCACTCTTGTTACCCAGGCTGGAGTGCAATGGCGCGATCTCGGCTCACCGCAACCTCCACCTCCTGGGTTCAGGCAATTCTCCTGCCTCAGCCTCCTGAGTAGCTGGGATTACAGGAACGACCTACCATGCCCAGCTAATTTTTTGTATTTTTAGTAGAGACGGGGTTTCACCTTGTTGACCAGGATGGTCTCGATCTCTTGACCTTGTGATCCACCCGCCTCGGCCTCCCAAAGTGCTGGGATTACAGGCTTGAGCCACCGCACCCGGCTGGCCTTTTCTTCATAATACAGGGAGAGCTGGTCTGCTCATGGGGCCTGGGAGCTGGGCTGCTGCTACCTCACGCACAGAACCCAGCAATGAAGCGGGGAAAAGCAGAATGGGCTTAACACGAGGCCGGGCACGGTGGCTCACACCTGTAATCCCAGCACTCTGGGAGGCTGAGACAGGCGGATCACTTGAGGTCAGGAGTTCGAGACCAGCCTGACCAACATGATGAAATTCCGTCTCTACTAAAAATACAAAAATTAGCCAGGCATGGTGTTGGGTGCCTGGAATCCCAACTACTTGAGAAGCAGAAGAAGGAGAATCACTTGAACCCAGGAGGCAGATGGAGGTTGCAATGAGCTGGGATCACACCATTGCGCTCCAGCCTGGGCGACAAGAGTGAGACTCTGTCTCAAAAAAAAAAAAAGAAAAGAAAACCACGATATTAAAATTCTGATTCTGCAAAAAAAAAAAAAAAAACGACTCTAAAAATGAGCCACTCTCTACTGCTTCCTCACTATTTGAGCTCTTGGGTATAAGGAATTTTGACAATTTGAGTCTGAAGCCCTTGAAAGGTTATCAAAAGCCTAGGAATCAGGCATCTATCTGCTTTTTTTTTTTTTTTTTTTTTTTTTGAGACGGAGTTTCGCTCTTGTTACCCAGGCTGGAGTGCAATGGCACAATCTCGGCTCACCGCAATCTGCACCTCCTGGGTTCAGGCAATTCTCCTGCCTCAGCCTCCTGAGTAGCTGGGATTACAGGCATGTGTCACCATGCCCAGCTACTTTTTTTGTATTTTTAGTAGAGACGGGGTTTCACCATGTTGACCAGGATGGTCTCGATCTCTTGACCTTGTGATCCACCCGCCTCAGCCTCCCAAAGTGCTGGGATTACAGGCTTGAGCCACCGCGCCCGGCCCCTGCTTTTTATAAAGCCTGGTATTTTCTGGCATTCCTCTAGGCTGGGATTTCCTAAATCCCAACCCTTTAAGAGCCAGCCTCACAACTTCTGGCATACTTTGTACTGTTATTTAGCCAATGATTTCCCTATCCTCAGTTAGCTTACTTCTTCTACTTAATCCTTTTATTTTGTCTTCTTTTTTAAAAATAGAGACAGTGGTCTCATTACGTTGCCCAGGCTGGTCTTGAACTCCTGGCCTCAAGTGATTTTCCACCTTCAGCCTCCCAAAGGTCCACTGTGCCTGGCCTTTTAATTTCATCTTGTCCTAATTAACAACATTCCTGAAATCATGAGTGTGGTACACTGTTGAGTTGTTTCCAATACATTTAAGAATAAATATCTAGCTATTAAAATAATTTATATCTCTTGGGCATGAACCACTAGATACTGATCCCACACTTTAGAAACATAGGAAATTGGCTGGGCATGGTGGCTCATGCCTGTAATCCTAGCACTTTGGAAGGCCAAGAAGGGTGGATCACCTGAGGTTCAAGACCAGCCTAACCAACATGGTGAAACCCTGGATCCACTAAAAAATACAAAAATTGCCGGGCGTGGTGGCTCAAGCCTGTAATCCCAGCACTTTGGGAGGCTGAGGCAGGTAGATCACGAGGTCAAGAGATCGAGACCATCCTGGTCAACATGGTGAAAACCCGTCTCTACTAAAAATACAAAAAAAATAGCTGGGCATGGTGGTGCGTGCCTGTAATCCCAGCTACTCAGGAGGCTGAGGCAGGAGAATTGCCTGAACCCAGGAGGCGGAGGTTGCGGTGAGCCGAGATCGCGCCATTGCACTCCAGCCTGGGAAGCAAGAGTGAAACTCTGTCTCAAAAAATAATAATAATAAAAATAAATAAAAAAATAAATAAATAAAATACAAAAATTAGCCAGGTGTGGTGGTGGATGCCTGTAAACCCAGCTACTTGGGAGGCTGAGGCAGGAGAATCATTTGAATCCAGGAGGCAGAGGTTGTAGTGAGCCAAGATCGCACCACTGCACTCCAGTGTGGGCAACAGAGTGAGATCCCATCTCCAGAAAACAAAATAAAATAAAATAAAATCTGCTGAATTTACTCGATCCAGCTCCTTTCCACATCCAGCTCGAAGAGTAATAGTTCCTAGGCTCAAGTGATCCACCTGCCTAGGCCTCCCAGGGTGCTGGGATTACATGTGTGAGCCACTGCGCTGGGCCAGATCAGCGGGTTTTACAGGCAGGCGTACACACTGGCAATGAAGCGGAAGCAAAGCAAGGGTGGTCTCTGACCTCGGGGAGAGTGCAGTATCTGAAGAGCTCCTGATCGTCCTGGAAATCCTGGACCTTCGCGATCATCTTCTCACCATGAGGATATTCGGATTTCAAAATGGCCACGTCTCTCATTACTGTTAATCCTAATGGTTTTACCTCCTTTCTGCAGATTTTTTCAAACTCATTCCTAGAAAATTAAATTTGCAAATGATGTAATCACCACTGGCTTGAAGCACCTGCCCGGCCCTCCTCTGCGGAAAGGTTTGCAGACTTGAGGGGTGGTGTCTCTGCACTATGTTGACCTCCAGCTGGAGGGAGAATAATTCCAGTGAAAGTGAGGAGAAACTGTCAGGCTAGAATCCACTACCAGAATTAAATCATTCCTTAGCTTAGCATACCAGTAGGGAAATGTTGTTATGATTTGGTTACATTGTAATAATAATAGCAAACGCTTTTTTTTTTTTTTTTTTTTTTTTGAGACGGAGTTTCACTCTTGTTACCCAGGCTGGAGTGCAATGGCGCGATCTCGGCTCACCGCAACCTCCGCCTCCCGGGTTCAGGCAATTCTCCTGCCTCAGCCTCCTGAGTAGCTGGGATTACAGGCACGCGCCACCATGCCCAGCTAATTTTTTGTATTTTTAGTAGAGACGGGGTTTCACCATGTTGGCCAGGATGGTCTCGATCTCTTGACCTCGTGATCCACCCGCCTCGGCCTCCCAAAGTGCTGGGATTACAGGCTTGAGCCACCGCGCCCGGCAGCAAACACTTCTGTAGCACTTACCATGGGCTCTATTCAAAGTGCTTTCTGTATATTTCACCTTACTTAGTCCTAACAATAGTAGGACATAAGTACTATTATTATTATTATTATTATTTTGAGATGGAGTCTTGCTCAGTTGCCCAGACTGGAGTGCAGTGGTGTGATCTGGACTCACCATAAACTCGGCCTCCCAGGTTCAAGCAATTCTCCTGCCTCAGCCTCCCAGTAGCTGGGATTACAGGCACCTGCCACCACTCCTGGCTAATTGTTTTTTTTTTTTTAAATTTTTGGTAGAGATGGTATTTCACTATGTTGGCCAGGCTGGTCTTGAACCCCTGACCTCAAACGATTCACCCGCCTCAGTCTCCCAAACTGCTGGGATTACAGGTGTGAACCACCATGCCTGGCAAGTACTATTACTATCCCCATTTTACAGATGAGAAAACGGAGGCATGGGATGTTGAGTAAACTGCCCCAGGACACAAGATATTAAGTGTCTGTCTGTAGAGCTGACACTGAAGCCCGGGTGTGGTGGCTCCCAACTGTAATCCCAGCAACTCAGGAGGGTGAGGCCAGGAGTTCAAGACCAGCCTGGGCAGCATAGTGAGACCCCCATCTCTAAAAACAAATTAAAAATTAGCCAAGTGTGGTGGTACACACCTGTGGTCCCAGCTAGTCAGGAGGCTAAGGCAGGAGGATTGCTTGAGCCCAGGAATTCGAGGCTGCAGTGAGTTATGATCACACCACTGCACTCTGGCCTATGCAACAGAGCAAGACCCTTTCTCTATAAAAAATTTAAAAAGCCAGTCTGGCACCTGAGCCCATGCCTTTAAGTATTTCCCAACAAACCAAATAATTTAAAAAATCTGGGCCGGGCGCGGTGGCTCAAGCCTGTAATCCCAGCACTTTGGGAGGCCAAGGCGGGTGGATCACGAGGTCGAGAGATCAAGACCATCCTGGTCAACATGGTGAAACCCCGTCTCTACTAAAAATACAAAAAATTAGCTGGGCATGGTGGCGTTTGCCTGTATTCCCAGCTACTCAGGAGGCTGAGGCAGGAGAATTGCCTGAACCCAGGGGGCGGAGGTTGCGGTGAGCCGAGATCGTGCCATTGCACTCCAGCCTGGGTAACAAGAGCGAAACTCCGTCTCAAAAAAAAAAAAAAAAAAAAAAAAAAATCTGTACATGCAGGAATGAATCCACCATATATTCTCATTACATGCACACAATACATACTTTTGTAAAATAACAAATAGTGTTACTGTACCGAAAGCGTTGAATATCAGCATCAGATACCAGATTTTTAATTACAAGATACCCATTTTCTTCATAGAATTTTCTCTGTTCCAGGGTGAGAACATTATTATCCAGACTATACCTAAAGGAGAAAAAGAATCCCCAAATAAGTTAAATTTTTAAATTACAGGCTGTGCACAATGGCTCACACCTGTAATCCCAGCACTTTGGAAGGCCGAGGCAAGCAGATCACTTGAGGTCAGGAGTTCAAGACCAGCCCAGGAAACAGGATGAAACTCTGTCTCAACAAGAAATACTGGATGTGCCATTGCACTCCAGCTTGGGTGACAGAGTGACACCCTGTCTCAAAAAAAATTTTTTTGGGGGGCCGGGCGCGGTGGCTCAAGCCTGTAATCCCAGCACTTTGGGAGGCTGAGGCGGGTGGATCACAAGGTCAAGAGATCGAGACCATCCTGGTCAACATGGTGAAACCCCGTCTCTACTAAAAATACAAAAGATTAGCTGGGCATGGTGGCGTGTGCCTGTAATCCCAGCTACTCAGGAGGCTGAGGCAGGAGAATTGCCTGAACCCAGGAGGCGGAGGTGCGGTGAGCCGAGATCGTGCCATTGCACAGGCTGGGTAACAAAGAGCGAAACTCCGTCTCAAAAAAAAAAAAAAAAATTTTAAATTACAGCCTAAAAATATGTATAAACAACCTGAGGCCAGGTGTGGTGGCTCACGCCTATAATCTGAGGACTATGGGAGGCTGAGGCGGTAGATCACCTGAGGTCAGGAGTTTGAGACCAGCCTGAGGTCAGGAGTTTGAGACCAGTTTGAGACAGAGTGAGACTCCATCTCAAAAACAAAAAAAAAAAACAAAACAAAAAATAAAACCTAAGATATGTTCATGCTCTTCAATCCAGCATTTCTTTCTTTCTTTTTTTTTTTTGTTTGAGATGGAGTTTCGCTTTTGTTGCCCAGGCTGGAGTGCAATGCATAGTCTCGGCTCACTGCAACCTCCACCTCCCGAGTTCAAGGGATTCTCCTGTATCAGCCTCCCAAGTAGTTGGGATTACAGGCACCCACCACCATGTCTGGCTAATTTTTTGGTATTTTTAGTAGAGACGGAGTCTCACCATTTTGGCCAGGGTGGTCTCAAACTTCTGCTCAAACTCCTGACCTGAAGTGATCCAGCTGCCTCAGCCTCCCAAAGAGCTGGGATTACAGGTGTGAACCACCCTGCCCAGCCCAATCCAGCATTTCTAAGACCAAGGAAATAATTTGAAAACTGAAGCCTTACGTTCAAAACATTAACTATAGTCACCAAAAATAGTGCATTAATAGAAGAAAAATTAACTACTGACGTTATGTTCACTCAGTGGAATATGACTCAGACGTTAAAAATTAAGACCATATAATAGCATAGACAATGCTTATCATAATAAAAAATTTTTTACAATGATATAAAACCAAGACATGAAAAGATATGAAAAAAAAGGGTGCAAAGAAAGACACCAAAGCAATTTTTAACAGTGAATGCCTTCAGTGAGGGAATTAAGAATGATTTTTTAGCCGGGCGCGGTGGCTCAAGCCTGTAATCCCAGCACTTTGGGAGGCCGAGGCGGGTGGATCACGAGGTCGAGAGATCGAGACCATCCTGGTCAACATGGTGAAACCCCGTCTCTACTAAAAGTGCAAAAAATTAGCTGGGCATGGTGGCTCGTGCCTGTAGTCCCAGCTACTCAGGAGGCTGAGGCAGGAGAATTGCCTGAGCCCAGGAGGCGGAGGTTGCGGTGAGCCGAGATCGCGCCATTGCACTCCAGCCTGGGTAACAAGAGCGAAACTCCATCTCAAAAAAAAAAAAAAAAAAAAAAAAAAAAGAATGATTTTTTAAAAATTCCTTCTATTTCTCTGATGTTTCTGTAATGAATACATATGATTTTTCACATGGGAGACAAATTCAATAAATTATATATATATTTATTTATTTTTGAGACGGAGTTTCGCTCTTGTTACCCAGGCTGGAGTGCAATGGCGCGATCTCGGCTCACTGCAACCTCCGCCTCCTGGGCTCAGGCAATTCTCCTGCCTCAGCCTCCTGAGTAGATGGGATTACAGGCACGCGCCACCATGCCCAGCTAGTTTTTTTGTATTTTTAGTAGAGACGGGGTTTCACATGTTGACCAGGATGGTCTCGATCTCTCGACCACGTGATCCACCCGCCTCGGCCTCCCAAAGTGCTGGGATTACAGGCTTGAGCCACCGCGCCCGGCTAAATTTTATATTTTTAACTGTCCAGTTGATTCACTCCAAGAAGTGAAGTAACAAAATCCAAATAAATGTACAGCATACTCATAAACTCAAATCACCCAACCTACTCCTTAAGATTATAATTATGGCTATATGAGAATATCTAGGAAAGTCAAGATCTCCCCTTTAAATCATCCTTTAAAGATGATTTAAGAAAAGCCAAATATGCTAGCTAATATGTCCATATAACCAAATTATAAGCTAATTTTTTTCTTTTGAGATGGAGTCTGGCTCTGTCACCTAGGCTGGAGTAAAGTGGCATGATCTCAGCTCACCGCAACCTTGACCTCCCAGGTTCAAGTGATTCTTCCACTTCTGCCTCCTGAGTAGCTGAGATTACAGGCGCACACCACCTCGCCCAGCTACTTTTTGTATTTTTGTAGAAATGGGGTTTTCCGATGTTGACCAGGCTAGTCTTGAACTCCTGACCTCAGGTGATCTGCCTGGCTTGGCCTCCCAAAGTGCTGGGATTATAGGCATGAGCCACAGCACCCAGCCACAAGTTAATTTAAATGTGATATATAATAACTGAATTTTTAAAAGTCAGATTATATGGCTGGGCGTTATGGCTCACACCTGTAATCCCAGCACCTTGGGCAGCCAAGGTAGGAGGATCTCTTTTAGCCTAGGAGTTCTTGACCAGCCTGGGCAACATAGGAAGGGCCCATCTCTAAAACAAATAAATAAATAAATAGATGTTGGATTATGTATTTTCTGGTATTTTTCCTTCTTAAAATACATATAGAAAATCAGTCTTCAGAATTTTCCACAACTGTACTAATTAGAATGAGTCCTGGAAACAGAGGATTTATATAATAAAATTCTAGGGCCGGGCATGGTGGCTCACACCTGTAATCCCAGCACTTTGGGAGGCCGAGACAGGTGGATCACCTGAGATTGGGAGTTTGAGACCAGTCTGACCAACATGGAGAAACCCCTTCTCTACTAAAAACACAAAATTAGCCAGGCATGGTGGCCCATGCCTGTAATCCCAGCTTTTAAGGAGGCTGAGGCGAAGAATTGCTTGAACATGGGAGGCAGAGGTTGTGATGAGCAGAGATCGTGCCATTGCACTCCCACCTGGGAAACAAGAGCGAAACTCCATCTCAAATAATAATAATAATAAAATTAAAAATAAAAATAAATTAAAAAATAAAACTCTAAGCAGGCAACATATTATATAGTATATCTTCATTACCACTCAAGAAGCTTTTACATACATATTTCAAAATTAAAATTCAACCTACTTACTGGAATTGTTGAGGATGGAAACTGGCAGAGGAAATAGTCCCTGAAGTGGGATGACCTACCTAGGATGTGAATTAAGGTTAGTAAAGTAAAATGCAGAAGGCCAGGCGCGGTGGCTCACGCCTGTAATCCCAGCAGTTTCGGAGGCCCCGGTGAGTGGATCACTTGCGCTCAAGAGTTGGAGACCAGCGTGGCCAAAATGGTGAAACCCTGTCTCTAACTAAAAATACAAATTAGGTCAGGCGCGGTAGCTCATGCTTGTAATACCAGCATTTGGGGAGGCCGAGGTGGGTGGATCACCCGAGGTCAGGAGTTTGAGACCAGCCTGACCAACATAGTGAAACCCCGTCTCTCCTAAAAATAAAAACATTAGTCAGGGTGGTGGCGATGTCTGTAGACCCAGCTACTCAGGAGGCTAAGACAGTAGAACTGCTTGAACCTGGGAGGTGGAAGTTGCAGTGAGCCAGTTGCGACACCGCACTCCAGCCTGGGCGACAGGGAGAGACTCCATCTCAGACAATAAATAAGTAAATAAATAAAACAAATTACACTCAGGAGGCTGAGGCAGGGGAGGCGGAGGTTGCAGTGAGCAGAGATTGCAGTGAGCCTGGAGACAGAGCAAGACTCCGTCTCAAAAAACAAAAAAATAATAATAGCAATGAGCCAGGAGTCGTGGAGCCACCCTGCAGTCCCAGCTCCTTGGGAGGCTGAGATGGGAGGATCGCTTGAGCCCAGGAGTGAGCCGACATCGCACCACCACTGCACTCCAACCTGGGTGACAGAGTGAGATCCTATTTCAAAAAAAAACCAAACACAAAAACCAAAAAAAGCAAAACCCTAGAAATGCCTTTTAAAGAGCTTTTCTATCCAGTAACTGCAGATTGTTGACAGGATCGCCTTGTTTCTTTAGTTTAATGCGTTCCTTTTGGAATGTCACTCTCATCAGTCAACATGGAACCCTTTGCTTCTCTGTTTCTCTCTCTCTTTTGGAGTGCACTGGCCGCCACGACTCACTGTAACCTCGAACTCCTGGCCTTGGCCTGACGAAGCGCCGGGACTACAGGCGTGGCTCGTGCCCCCGCGCCGAACCCTTAATAGTGTTTTTATATAACTCGGTGACAAGGCAGCAGTCCAGGAGAGAGGTAACGGAACGCCACCCGGGAGGCCGCCAGCTCCTGCCCCTAGGGCCCTGTCCCGCCTGCCCCGGCTCCTTCCCGGCAGCCCTGCGCGCCGGTGCACCGGGAGCCTGCACATCGCGGGGTGTCCCGGCAGCGGCGAGGGTCACGCGCGGCCGAGCCCACAAGGTCTCAGGCGGCGGAAACGACCTTCCCACCGCTCGGTCTCCACAAAGCGAGGAGCGGAGGCCCCCAGGAATCCCGGAGGGCAGCGCGACGCGGCACCAGCCCCGAGCCCACGGCGGCCGCGCGTGTCCTCCTGGGACGCAGCCTCCTCCCAGCTCTTCCCGGAGCCCGGACCCAAGCGGCGACCAGGCGTTGAGGAGGCCCCGGGGCCGGGATGCGTGCGCCCCGGTGGCTTCCCTCCACCCCGGCCGGGGCCAGCACGCAGGCGCCGGCGCCAAATCCAGCCCGAGCCCAGCGCAGCGCAAAGGATTCGATGGCCCGGGCCGAGGGGCGGCCGAGGTGGCCCAGCACGATCTGCAGGCGGGCGGCGGCGCGGGACTGCTCCATGGCGGCGGCGCGGGGACCCCTCCGGCCTGCCTTCGCCCCTTTAGCTCCGCGGGCGGCTCCGCCTCCAGGCGCGGCCGGGGCAGGATACGGGCGGGGTTCGGGGCGGGGTCTCGCGGGTAGCGCTGCGGGGGCGCCCTCTGCTGCCAGGGTCTGCGGGCCGGGCAACCTCGCGGGACACTATGATCCTTCCTTCCTTTCTTTTCTTTCATACTTTTTTAAAAGAGACAAGGGCTTGCTCTGTTGCCCAGACTGGAATGCTGTGCACGATCCCAGCTCACTGCAGCCTTGAACTCTTGGGCTAATGTTTTCTTTTTCGTAGAGATGGGGTCTAGCTATGTTGCCCAGGGTGCCCTGCACCCTGTTTCTATTCCATCACCAGCTCTGCCGCACTGAGGCTCGGGGGCCCAGTCACCAGCCCGAGGTCATCCAGTAGCAAGTGGCTGGGCGGGGACCTCAGCCCACACTCCTAACGTCACGGCTTGCATCTACTTCACCCCACGTAACTGCTCCTTCCACTGACAGCTGAAAGAATAAAAACTCCGATTTAAATAAAAAGCTTTTTAGCCCGGGTGCGAGATCGCCTGAGGTCAGGAGATGGAGCCCATCCAGGCCAACATGGTGAAACCCCGTGTCTACCAAAAATTCAAAAATCAGCTGGGTGTGGTGGCGCCTGCCTGTAATCGCAGGTACTCTGTAGGTTGAGAAAGGATAACTGCTTGAACCAGAGAGTCAGAGGTTGCAGTGGGCCGAGATCTCACCACCGCACTCCAGCCTGGGTAACAAGAGCGAAACTCCATCTCAAAAATAATAATAATAATAAAAATGTTGAGATTCATCTCTAAAAGTCGTATGTGCCATTCAAAAGGGGTATTTCGTTTAGTGGGATTCCAACCCAAAATATTAGAATCAGTTTGGTCATTAAAAAAAAAAATGGCGCCGGGCGCGGTGGCTCAAGCCTGTAATCCGAGCACTTTGGGAGGCCGAGGCGGGTGGATCACGAGGTCGAGAGATCGAGACCATCCTGGTCAACATGGTGAAACCCCGTCTCTACTAAAAGTGCAAAAAATTAGCTGGGCATGGTGGCACGTGCCTGTAATCCCAGCTACTCAGGAGACTGAGGCAGGAGAATTGCCTGAACCCAGGAGGCGGAGGTTGCGGTGAGCCGAGATCGCGCCATTGCACTCCAGCCTGGGTAACAAGAGGGAAACTCCATCTCAAAAAAAAAAATATAAAAAAAAAGAATGAAATACTTGTCTGATGCACAAAGGCCAGTATGGTGTAAATTTTTTACAGAACTCGAGCAGCTCTTTGTAACATTTCTTTTCTGTTCCATAAGTACAGATCTTGACATAGCATCTCATTGTCTCTTTACTCTGATCTTTTCATTGATTTTTTTTTTTTTTTAACTTCAAGAGTTACTTCCAGAACGTCGCAGCACATGTTATCACTTCTTGCATGACGTCTTTATAGAATTTGGTGACAATGTCGCAATCCAGGAGAGAGGCCGGCAGCCAGCATCCCCAGCTCCTTGCAGTTTGCGCAGGCGGGGAGAACGCTGGCCGCCCGGGCTTCCCCTAGGGGGCCCTCCCGCATTCTCCGGGATTCCGCCCGCCCCAGGGTCTCAGACTAAGAGAAGGACCCGGGATCCCCTAGGAGCTCCCGACCTCATCTGCCCTACTTGGGCATCCCGCGCGGGAATGTGACCCTGCAGGAGTGGCCAGGGGTTCTCAAGGACCCCGCTGTTTGTCACGGTTTGAACCGAAGCCCCCGGCCTGGGGCGGGTGCAGGTGGAGGGCCCGCCTCTTTCTGCCCCTGGGAACGCCCCTCCGCGCGGGAGGAACGGCGAGGCGGCGTCTTCTTACTGCCCTCGCCTGGTGAGATGCGGGCACTGCTGCCAGGAGAAAAAACTGAAGGTGGGAATTCGGTTCATCACCCTTCCCTTACTTATTAAAAGATCGGGACCTTGACCCGCACTGCCAGTGACTGGTTTTCCTGACCAGTAAAGACTTTCAAATGAGATGAAGCTACTTACACCTGTGTTTTTACCGTTCCTTTAAAATGCCATCATTTGGCCGGGCGCGGTGGCTCAAGCCTGTAATCCCAGCATTTTGGGAGGCCGAGGCGGGTGGATCACGAGGTCAAGAGATCGAGACCATCCTGGTCAACATGGTGAAAACCCGTCTCTACTAAAAATACAAAAAATTAGCTGTGCGTGGTGGCGCGTGCCTGTAATCGCAGCTACTCAGTAGGCTGAGGCAGGAGAATCGCCTGAACCCAGGAGGCAGAGGTTGCGGTGAGCCGAGATCGCGCCATTGCACTCCAGCCTGGATAACAAGAGCGGAAACTCCGTCTCAAAAAAAAAAAAAAAAAAAAAAAAAAGCCATCATTTTACAACTGTGTGAAACTCCCTGTCATGTCTCCTGCACAGCATTTATACAAGGATGTATTTAAGTTGATGCCTTTTTTTGTTTTGTTTTTGAGGCAGAGTCTGACTCTGTTGCCCAGGCTGGAGTGCAGTGGCGCGATCTCGGCTCACTGCACTCCCAGGTTCAAGCGATTCTCCAGCCTCAGCCTACTGAGTAGCTAGGATTAAAGGCGCGCCACCACGCTTGGCTAATTTGTTGTATTTTTATTAGAAACGAGGTTTAACCATTTTGGCCAGGCTGGTCTCCAACTCATGACCTCAAGTGACCCGCCCTTCTCAGCCTCCCAAATTGCTGGGATTACAGGCGTGAGCCACCACACCCAGCCCAAATTGATGCTTTTTACCGAGAGATGAAGGGAATACTTAAATACAATTATTATCTGACTTTTTAAAATTAGAGGGATTTGGGTTTAACATTTTTCATTTAAGATCAAGGAGAATTAAAACAGTAATTTCTCCGTAGGTAAAGTTTTCATTCAAATAGCAATTTGGATTATTGGAAAATTCCCTAAGTAGGCATCTTTAATAATTGTGTTATTAAAATAAAAATATTTTAGAACAATTGAAGCAGAACATTAATGGAATGTAAACATTATCGCAAGAATGAAAATTTCTTTCCCCTTTGGTATTAGGTATTTATTCATTTCTTATTAGAGTTGGCCTTTTGACGATTACTTCAAAATTAGCTTCCCTCCCCCCCCTTCAAGCAATGTCCTTGGCTTACTTAAATATGGAAAGTAAACTTGCAGACAAGTTGAAAATTATCTAAGGAATAGTTTTCCCCATATATATAAATGATTTGTTAATAGCCATATTTGAGCAGCTAAATAAAATACAATGGATTTTTAAATCTTGGATTAAATTGTTCAAACTGGCCTGGTGAGGTGGGTCATGCCTGTCATCCCAGCACTTAGGGAGGCTGAGGCGGGCAGATCACCTGAGGTCAGGAGTTTGAGACCAGCCTGGTTAACATGGTGAAACCCCGTCTCTACTAAACATACAAAAATTAGCCAGGCATCGTGGTGTGTGCCTGTAATCCCAGCTACTCGGGAGGCTGAGGCAGGAGAATCGCTTGAACCCAGGAGGTGGAGGTTGCGGTGAGCCGAGATCGCGCCATTGCACTCCAGCTTGAGCAACAAGAGCGAAACTCTGTCTCAAAAAAAAAAAAGGCGGGTGGGGGGAAGAAGAAAATAAATCAGCTGGGCGTGGTGGTGCGCCTGTAGTCCCAGCTACTTGAGAGGCTGGGGTGGGAGGATCACTTGAGCCCAGGAGGCGGAGGTTGAAGTGAGCCAATATCATCCCACTGCACTCCAGCCTGGGCAACAGGGCAAGACCATGTCTCGAAAACAAAAACAAAAAAATAAATAAATAGTTCAAGCCAGGCATGGTGGCTCATGCCTGTAATGTCAGTACTTTGGCAGGTCGAAACAGAGGACTGCTTGAAGCAAGAGGCTCAAGTCCAGCCTAGGTAACATAGCAAGACCTTGTCTCTACAAAAAATTTAAAAAAGAAATCGTTGGGTGCAGTGGCACACGTGTAGTGCTAGCTACTCCGGAGGCTGAGGTAGGAGGATTGCTTGAGCTCAGGGTTCCAGGCTGCAATGAGCCATGATCCCCTACTGTGCTCCAGCCTGAGTGATAGAGTGAAATCCTATCTTTAAAATTTGTTTTAAAAAATTTAAAAAGTTGTTCAAGCATCGTATATGCTTCAGAAAATGTCATTATATAAATGAAAAATTATCTGTAACCAGCCGGGCGCGGTGGCTCAAGCCTGTAATCCCAGCACTTTGGGAGGCCGAGGCGGGTGGATCACAAGGTCAAGAGATCGAGACCATCCTGGTCAACATGGTGAAACCCCGTCTCTACTAAAAATACAAAAAAGTAGCTGGGCATGGTGGCATATGCCTGTAATGCAAGCTACTCAGGAGGCTGAGGCAGGAGAATTGCCTGAACCCAGGAGGCGGAGGTTGCGGTGAGCCGAGATCACGCCATTGCACTCCAGCCTGGGTAACAAGAGCGAAACTCCGTCTCAAAAAAAAAAAAAAAAAATTATCTGTAACCAACTCCAGATTCAAAAATTCTGTGAATAGTTACGACTGTAGGTCAGGTCATTTGGCTACAAGTTTTAAAGTTCATTTAGGACGTGGTGGTTCACACCTGTAATCCCAGCACGTTCAGAGGCCAAGGCAGAAGGATCACTCTCAGGCCAGGAGTTCAAAATCAGCCTGAGCAACATAGCAAGACCCCATCTCCACAAAGTTTAAAAAGCAGCCAGGTGTGGTGGTGTGCACCTGTAGTCCCAGCTATTCAGGAGGCTGAAGTGAGAGGATCTCTTCCTTTTCTCCAAGCCCATTTCTGATGTTGGCCATAATGAAAACAAGTCTCAAGGACAGAGGTGTGTGGCGCAAAAAACATCTAATCTCCCAACTTAGATTAGAAACTAAAAAAATATGTGTGTAAATCTGGGAGAAGAGGAAAGAATAAAATGATCACATGGAATTATTTGGATTGAGAAATATCTTTTTTTTTTTTTTTTTTTTTTTTTTGAGACGGAGTTTGGCTCTTGTTACCCAGGCTGGAGTGCAATGGCGCGATCTCGGCTCACCACAACCTCCGCCTCCTGGGTTCAGGCAATTCTCCTGCCTCA